CCTGGTTGTCTTTACTATTCCAATCCGACATACATGTCCATTCCGAATGGACATAAATTCCAAACCGACATACAACAAAAATTGCCGTTTGCGATGGATGTAAATCCAATCTAATGATCGATTATGTTATGTTCTCGCTGAAATGTTCACAATGTACCATATGCAAAGCGAAAGTATCTCTCTCCCGTCTATCTACATACTGGTGCAGACCCTTTTGTTGAATATCGCTCACTCACTGGGCGAATGGGTTATTCTAGAAACAGAAGAATTTGCTGACACTTTATTCAGGCATTACTGGTGCTTTTTTGAATGACGTAGACCTATCCTACTCTGATAATCGTTGGTATCATCCATCCTTGCGTTACGCTTGTGATTGGCTCAACACAATAATCCTTATCTAATGGCCTATCATTCTTTGGTCCTCACATTTAATTACATCAAACTCTAATTTATCTCCTACCGTTTGGCCACAGGCCACGCATATTTCAAACGAAGGTCCCACACCTTCCGTAAAAATTTCAGACATAGTTATGCTTTTTTATATATTTCCTGACGAAAACGCACACTTTACTCACGTTTAGCCATAGGCTTTTTGCAAAGTTCTGATGAACATCAAATACCACTTCGTTTTACAGACCCCGAATTGGAAGCGATATTGTTTCCTGATTTATTTCCAGATATCACGGGGAAATATCCAATCGTTTAAGTTCACTTAACAATCATACGACAAATATATAAAATGCGATTATTAGGATTCGATTCTCGCTTCAGACTTCATCCCATGTGGATGATGTGGTCATACATGCAATTAGAAAAACTCGCGTATTTCGCCAACGTCATGTTGATCCCACCCATACTCGCCCTTCTGCCATACAATGGTTACGACAAAGTCATTATACACATGATATGATAGTCGATGAAGATAGGTCAATGCATTTACCTACTTTTATTCGCACACGTGAATATACGAAACCGATTCTTTGAGAACAGCTTAACTGGAAATACAAAGATGAGTCACCCGGTTTGCGACAAGATAAGTTAATACCCTCGGCGCTTACAATGGATTGGAAGTGCGTAAAAATTTGGGAAATTTCTATTATTATTTATACATACTACGTCGTTACAATTTAAATGCCTGTTCGTCAGTTATGTATGCTAAATTTTGGATAACCTAATAAAAGCATAGTTGTACATATGTACTGTCATAAACCCCCCAGATATTAACTAATGAGGGGCGAAGCCCCCCAAAAAAATTTCTCTACCTAGTTAGAATATAAAGAACTATTCTAAAAAGGACAATTATAAGAAAGGATAGCTGAAGATGATCGTATTGAGAGGAAATATTGATTAACAATTCGATAATGTTTTAGCGTCTAAACCGCGCTGCTTATATATCTATTTTCTGTACGTCGCTAGCGACAATGTCCAAGGAAAATCGTAATATCTCGATCGTTATTATTCTAATTTTTTGTCAATAAAAACGCACGCGTTGTTTATTGACGATAACGTTAAAAGTCCAAGAGCAATAATAATAAATTAAACACCATAAGGATTTTCCTTCCTATTTTTACCACCTTTTCCCTTCTTGTGATGCCTTTTCCTCAGATCCTTTGCTGTTGGTGCTTGTGCCGTATCCGTCAAGACACTTTCGTCTACCAACTGTGAGACTTCTTTTATATTCATCCAATTGTCCATGCTTGCTCGACGCCAATTCTTCTCGTTTGTCTACTAACTGATAATGCCGTTTGAATAGCTTGAGAAACTCTTTTACTTTACTTGCTTCGACTAAATCGAGTTCATTGAGCTTTTGAACTATCTTACTGCTTCAGAGAGACGCCGAGTTCCTGGCTTAAGACTGCATTGAGTTTCCACAGAGTGGTCAGTGGTGGTTTTTCTCGCTTTGGAAAGGCTGAATACTTGGTAAACAATTCTATAGACTTAATGAAAAGATCGTGTTGAAGCAAATGTTTGATGAGCGCCATACGATGACAACTTGTGCTACCAGAATAGACTGCAGATTCAGATTGCTAAACTGTAGTGTCTTTCCGAGATTTGAAGTATAGTCTAGAATCATAAAGCTTGCTATTAAATTCCTTTGGTGTTATATCTATTGGAGGTAAGTGACAGTATAGAAGTTTGCCCTAGTAAAGCGCATTGCCAAATTTAATTCAAGGTGGAAAAAAGTAATAAAAAAAGCACAATCAACAAAAAGAGCACCAAACAAAACAAACTTAATAGATAAAGTGCATACATTTACATAATCCTTTAAAATATAGCGTGCCGCCTGTGGCTCATCCGGAGCTCCATATCCAGAAGTTGTTAATCCCCTTGCAACAACAGTGTATCATCACGTTATTATCTCATTCTTTGAAGCATATAATTATCTAGTTTGAACTAAAGGTTTAGTGATTTACCGGCGTATGCACTTAATAATTTTTCAGCAGTCGGTATATTGTCTCCACCCTCCTCTTCACTCCTCGTCTTTATTGTATTTCCTTTGGTATTCTCCTTGTAACCAACGCGACTGGTCCCCTCATCTGATCAATCGGTAGGACCCCATTACAAACTATTTCAGCATTGGTGGTGGCATAACAGGATATCGTAGCTTGGAAATAAAGTTGTATGAATATCGTATATGTCAAATAAAAATTATAACGGGTTCTTATATATCTTTTCGGACTACAAATTGGTTTATTTTTAGCATCGCAATCTGCTTTGTTATACGTACTGCAGTCATGCAACTGATCAAGAATACGTCATCGTTAGTCAGCTCCTATACAATCACATTGACGTTTTATTTGCTGTGATTAGATATTTCGAAAAAATTGTTATTGCATATAAAAATTAAACTGTGCAATACTTTTGTCCCTTTAACATAAAAAGTGTGATCAACGTCAACAAAGCCCTGACTGTACTACCACTTGTCCTTACGATCGATTACTGTAGAAATTCAGGGACACCGTTAAACGTGTGATCTCATTGTTGCGTTTACTTTACAA